TGCATGAGATGCACTTGCAGCTACAACCACTAGCAAAATGAAAACTTGAGAACACTTGCGCTACCGCCAATGACCACAAACTACATCAGTCCTGGGCCCCCTCGCCGCATAACAATCATAAGAAAGACAAATAGCTTTGCACTACTGTATTTTTTTGGTTGTTCCACACTCCGGTTGCCAGCCACCTGCTGCTGCTGCGGTCGCGGCGCGGCAGCGGCTCGGGTGGCGCCCTTACGAATAATCTTGCAAGAACTTGATTTTTTTGACAACGCATCATCACAAACGCAAAACAAGTGCCGCCAAGCAACTTCTCCCTGCGCCATATGACGTCGTACGCCTACTCCGAAATCAGGGGAAGCAAGCTTCATGCTGTGGGCAGGGGACTGCGCACTCACGCCTGCAAACCTGAACTCCAAATCCCAAAAGTCGGAACCGCAAATAGCCTGAACCCTAAATCCCTGAGCCTAATCCCTGAATCCGAAATCTTGAAATATCCTACCCCGGGCGCTAGATCCCAAAGTCTTGAATTACTCCAGCTTCAATCCCACACTCCTGCCCCTAGCTGTTACCTCTTCAGAATTCCCAACCCTATAGGCCTAACTCCAGATCCGACACCCTGAGCTCTAACTCCCCACATCCTACCTGGGTTCTTGTTGAAATACTATGAAAAAAGATCATGTTTAATTCATATTGGGCCCAGGTATACATAAAAGTGTAAAATGTTATTCAACAAGAACCCAGCTACACCCTGGAAGGTTCCTGTGCCTCGCGCAAAGCAGGAAAGCGGAGTGCCTCCCAGGCCTCTTCACTACATGGGATCGAGTAGCGCAAGGAAATGGAAAGATGCGGGTTATATAGGGCTTTACAGGGATAATGGAGAAGTGGGTATTATATAAAGGGACATAAGGCGATTTCAACCCAACTATGGAGACTCAAATGGAAAGGACAAAAAATCGGAAAAAAAAAAGAAAAAAAAAAACTAACGGAAACTTGGATTTCGGGTGCATGAGGGCTTGGGGCTTCGGGCTGTGAATTTAGGGCTTCGGTTTGAGGGTTTAGAATACCTGGCGCAGGGGTGAGGGCGCGGGTGATGTAATCTGGGGTCCTCCGAATTTCATGGATCCTTTTTGGAAGGGTTCCGATTTCAGGGCTCCCATGATGGATCCAAGTGAAAGTAGGGGAAGGAAGATTCATTCTAGGCAACCCCCGCACCGCCCCTTGGCATGGTTAGGGTGCTTGATTGCAGGGCAGAGCCTGGCACCATCACGAAGTCATCCATTTTGCCGCATTCGTTCCTACGCACCATCATCATTTGTTTTGCGGCCTGGTTGCCGCTTGACAAATTCAAGAAATATGTCGCTCAGGGAATGTGGCTGCAACTGGTCCATATCTCTGAAGCGATTTTATCGAACTCAAGACTCTGGTGGCTATCCACCTGGAGGTGGGGCAGAACAGCATGAAATTCAATCTACCCTGAGCTGCTGGAACCCGCTGCCTCATTGAGCGACTGTGTGACCTGGCCATGCAAGACACCAATCTATATTGGGGTTATATAGGGATAATGGAAAAGAAAATGGAAACTACTATTATATAGGGGTTATATTGGGATAATGGAAAATAAAATGGAAACTACTTTAATATAATAGGGTGGCCGCAGCAGACGACTCCCGCCGCTACATCTCAGACCATAGCGCGAATCATCTGAGCTATAGTCTAAACTCCTAGTATCCTCCTTCATGACCCTTGCAATACTCCCCTGAATAATCCCCCTTAAGGAGCTTAGACTATAGTCATTTCATCCTGTTCTGGGATCTGCGCAATCATTCATGCATTTGGTATGTCTAGGTATGACTCCCAACAAAACTCTGCAAATCCCATGCCAGTTGCGCGTTTTGGCCGTAGCCTCCAGCACTCCATGGTCTCTTATCCGGGTGGAACCTGGATGAGAGACGTGTACTACTCTGCGTCTTTGCATCCAGGATGTGTGGAGAGTTGAGGATACCCGCATTGTTGCATGGACGGCGCACGCAAGAATATGAATGGTGAACACGACATTTTCTGGCAAATTTTCGCAGACGTCGGAACTCCATATGATCCAGACCTGCTCATCACGCGCGCTCTTGTTACCTCCCGGATAGTCATGCTGCTGGAGCACTGCTGGGGATAACCAAGGTCTGAATCACACAAACTAGGACCCTATACGAATTCAGCTGATCATACAGGAGTGATACAGGCTTTACGGGTTTGAGGCGCCTCGATCTGGAACTTTTCCAAAAGCAGGGATACTCTTAGGGCTTAGGACTTCGGGTTCTCATAATAAGGAATAGACTACATTGGGTTCCTGTTTCGGGAAACTACCTTCAGCTTAGCTCGTGGCAGCCAACCTTTCCAAGCCCTTTGGGGCCCCAGCTCGCGAAGTTTTTCGTGGTATGCCTGCAATACATGGGTATTTTCCCAAAATTACGGGTGCTTTTGGGGGGTTCCTAAAATAGGGGTCATAGTATTTTGGGGCCTATATTGGGGTCCCCCTATTTTGGGAGACTACCACATAGAAAACCTCAGCCCTTCCACATCTGGAAGGAGCCGCATGCATGCCAGGGATGTGGAAATCACCCCTCTAAGTAGCCCTTCGGGTCTTCAGCCCAGGAAACACGAATTCGGCTTACAGTACTTTGCTGTGTAGCACGTAGGGGCATGGTGTTCTATGTACTTTGCTGTGTAGCCTGCAGTGTTGGTAAGTAGTTCCTATTGACAACTAGTTCCTAAACCCATGTGTCTTTTGGACCCTGTGGTGGTGACAAACTGTACAAGTAGCACAAGAGAATTCCGTATGCTAGACACGAGGGGATTTCTAAAATCGAGGGGCTCTTAGCAAACCTAGGCATGATGGGGGGCAGCTTCTTGGAGAGCAGAAGGGTGTTTGTTGCTTTGACAAATTCCCTTTCCTGGCTTAAGAGCCCGTCCGCTAAGCCTTCTTCAGCTGTTCCAGAGAGTGGTCTGGAGAGCATCCCAGTACAGCCTCACTTTGGGGTTTCTCAAGAGAGGATGCCCGCAGGGAGCTTAGGAATATCTGGGCACCGCAAGGAGTGTTTACGGGTCACCCTTAACAATTGTAAAGGCTGGGCTTTGAAACATTACCAGTTTTTGGAAGGGACGGGGGCGCGAAAGCTTCTGGTCATGAATGCGGATGTTCTGGACATTTGCAAGAGCAACCACCCGTGCCATGTCCTCTGAATTTCCTGGCTGCGTTTCCCTATCGCGTCCAATGGCTGGCTACTGTGGCAAGGCCGCGATTGTGGCCCCAAGCCGCGCGCGTAGTGGTCTACGAAGGGCTTGCCGGAACCGGCCATGCCGCACTTGACCCATGGTAATGGAAGCAGGTGAAAGCCTGTGTGCGCCTTGTTCAGATGGAGTTGCTCGAGTGTTGAATTCGATAGTGGTGGTGTCCCCACCTCCGGCGTCTCTGGAATCAAGCATCTTGCCCTACAAATGACTGTGACGGACTTGCTTTGTTGTGAATTGTAGAGCCCGAGTTCGCGGCATGTAGCATGATAAGCTGCATCTCGACATGTGGGAGTTTGCACATGCTACTGTTCCCGAACAGAAAATTGAATGTAGACGCCTGCATTCTGGAATCCCATTGGGAACCTAACTACAGTGTAACTACAGGGATCGGCAAACTATTTCAGGCAAATCTACCATGTCTTTTCTTTACATTCCGGAAATGTAGCACACAGCCATTGAAGAGAACTCTTCACTGAAATTCAGAATCCTTCACATATACAGTCACAAGCCTCCTTCTGCAAACGACGCAGGATGCTTGGTTCATGTTAGCCCGACTGCCATTAGCATGACCTTCCCCATGTTTACATTGCTTGCTATCACATTCATCACGATGGGATTGCGCACCTATTCCCAGCATGATCCTGGTAGCCTCACTACTCCTTGAGATGCCTCCGAGAGATGCATGGATGACAGAAAGTAAAGGGCTAACCTGCTAAGCTGCTAGTCCCGGTCGCAACATGCAGGGCTCACTCTGCCAGCAATCATGAAGGCAGGATGCTCCTTTGAGCTGTACCTGGCGACATGCTGGCTGCTGTAGTCTCCTTAAGTCGGCTTCCATCCACTTAGGAGCTCTTCAAGAAGAGAAGAAACCTGGGCGGAAGCTTGCCCAAGCGTATCCCTTCCCTTATACCGCCGGTGACTATGGATACAAGGATCGTGAATTCGAAGCATGCGCGGAAATGAGTGCCCGCTTGTTGATAGCATCACTTTGCGAACTCCTGTCACGGACCAGCTTTCTTGCCAATATCTGCATAATGCTTTTTTGCATTCCGCTGACATCCAGGGACTGCTCTGGATCGCCGACGGACAAGAAAGCAACACCTGAGAAGTAGAGGAACGCCCCCATCCAAAGGCTCAAGCTGGCTAAAGCATGCAACAACCTCCCCTGAAAAATGCACAGGAGTCCCAAGGCATGAGGCAGGAGGTCGCCACTTGCACCGATCAGGGCGGTCCATCATGGACGCCTCTTTGGCTTCTAGATACCTCAGACGGCAAAAGGTGGAATTGCGGGTCTCTTTCTGTTTCGAAGATTTCGAGGCTTGCCCCGCATGTAGGGCCCAGGGGTGCAGGAATCTAGGTTCAGGGCTCTGCCACGGTTCAAACCCTTTGCTATTTGAGGCAAGACTGTGATGCTGAGAACTGCCTCATGGCTAATGCTCAGTAGAACTGCAAGAGACTGTGGACGCTTTTTTCCCCAGCACAACCAAGGCGCATGACAAACGAGGATCAAGGTGAAACCTTCGAGCAAAGTGAGATGATATTAGGACGCCGTCGCCCGCCGAAATAAGAAGACGTGTGTATAAGAAGACGACACGGTGATCCGCCACGAAGCGCAAAGCATGTTGCGCAAGTGCGAGAGAAAACATACTTTTCTTTTTATGCAGTCGCTTGTGTTCCGTAAAGTTTGCTGCCCACATAGTCGCATAGTGCCAACCTCAAACTTCAAAGTAGTCTTCTTCGAGTGCTTCCTCGCTCGTCTCGTTTGGGGAAGTTGCGAGGGAGACCACGCTTGCACATCGTTCAACCTGCCCCTGCAGAGCCTCCATCAAGAATTCGGGAACGCTCATCTGCCGAGCCAGATCCTCGGCCTTCTTCCTCCTTGCATTTCGAAGGTCCAGACGGGCTCCAGACACGGCAAGAGCAGCAGCGCACTCAAACTGTCCAGACAATATGGCCATCATGAGTGGCGTGGCACGACGATGGTGGTATCCCATGAACCGCAACTTGGTTGCCTTGCCGCCCAACCGGCACTGAATTCCTTTGATGCCAAGCCCGAGCAAGTTCCCGAACGACTCCGAGAACTGCTCATTGATGTCGGCCCTCGCTGAAAGCAGAATCTTGATGATTTTGGCCGAGCTGTCTGAAAAGATTGCTGCGTAATGTAGAGCATGCGACAAGGGCACCTTGCTCTGCGTCTCAAACAGAAGCACCTGAAGCGCTTCGAAGCTGCCAGCCGTGCATGCTTGCTGCACTGCAGAAATTCCTGTTGGGCCGATGACGTCAGCAAAGGCCTTGTGCTCACATAGAATCCGGACGCCCTCCACGTTGTTCGCAAAGGTGGCGCCAAGAATTGGGGGGAATGTGCTCCCTCTGGGATTCACCTTCGACTTGGCTGAAATCAGCAGCTTCATGGCATCATTGTTGTGGAAGCATGCGGATATGCCCAGAACTGCGTTGGCTCTGAAGAGGGCCAACATTGGCTGGGCCTTCCTGGTCTCATCGTTGGCATCTGCCGAGGCTTCCAGCAGCCCCTGGATGAGCTGCAGGTCTCCTAAGTCTTAAAATGCACTCCTTATGATCCCAGAATGAAAATGGAGAACCCCATGGAGAAGAAAATGGAACATGAAATAGAAACTGGGGAATTTACAGCACCTTCTAGTCAGGAACCCGTTTTCAAGCCACTTCTGCCTTGCTTTAGCTGAGTCTCCTTTCATGCAGGCATAACAAAGAGGTGACCAACCTGCGTTGTCATACTCCAGTGGATAGCGAAAACCGTTCTGGTGCAAAAACTCGGCCACCAGACTCTTTGGGCCATTCTCCAACTGTTCAAAGCCTGGGACCAGGCCACTGATGGGTTCCACTGGCAAGCCTTTGAAAAGCGCCGCTTGGGCATTCAGCACCACCCGGTAGGTGGTAAAATCACCCCTCTGCAGGCTGAGGCGCATCCTCCGTAGCAACACCTGCTTCAGCACAAGAGCAGTTTTCAAGCGATCCTCCTCCACGCTGAAGTCGCCGAGACCTGGTGAGCTTCCATACGAGGCCAAAAACGACGTCGCCTTCAGCTCAATATTCCTCAGCTGTCCAAGGGTTTCCGAGAAGCGCTGTTTCCCCATGGTTTAGGGACTTAGGATGTGAGAGTCTTCGGGGAACTGCAGAACCCACCTTTTCCATAGAAGCTCAGATGCTGGCCGCTCCGGATCATGATGAAAGACCCGTGTCCTCTAATCCCCTCCCATATAGTAAAGCCCCGAATCGACAATGGCAGTCTGTTGGGAGGATGTGCTGTTTGGGGGGGGGGGGGAGGGTTGCGGGCAGGAGATTTTGCTTCTGTACCTTTCAGCAATGGACATGACATTGCGCGTTGAGCTGTCCTAAATGGTGGCTATAGCTAGAGTTCAAGTCGGCTACACGTACTTACAGCTATTGTTAACCTCTCATTGATAAAACGGGTAACAATAAACTATTCCCGCCGGGCAAGAAAAAGCCCCAAAGACGACTCTTGCTTTCTAGCAGGTTCGGAGCCCGAAAAGATACAAACAAGTTCGATCGGCAATATAAAGGGGTGACAGTAATCAAGCAGCGCCCCGGACTATCCGGATATGAATAGACTCCCATCTACTTGTTCTTTAATTTAGTGCAAGCTGTACTACTTGATCCTACCCCCCACCCCCTTACCTCATCATTGCAACCCACCTCCCTCCGTAAACCAACAACGCGAAACAGATTCTCCGTTGTCAGGTTAACATTCATTCAAACCTCACTTGGCGTACTTTTATTCAGCTTATGACTGCCCATGAAACTACAAGAAGAGTTTATGTCCCTGACAATCACGGCCTATCGCCATCTATGACCCAGACAGGCTTTGAAGGACTACTCGTGATTTGAGATGAAGTCCGCAAACTGGGGCGCGGCTAGTTGACGTGTGTGCCATAACGTGAATGACGAAAACCGTCCTAAACTTGCGTGAGTTCGTGCAATTCTGATGCCTGCAACTGCGCGTCACCCTAAACCAAACGCCTGAACCCTGTCCTGAGCTTTCATGAACCATCCTTTCAACTCGGCACCAGCCTGCAAAATCTCAGAAACGGCTTTGCGTTTGGGGTGGAAGGCTTGTGCTTGCGCAGCAGACAACACCCAGACATGGGAGCTTCGCTGTGGAGCTCGAGATCGAGGGTCTTTTGCTATACGGATTTGGGTTTGGGAATATGGCGGCACGCTCAGCTCTGGGAACATGGGGGTCTTGAAAAAAGTACTGAAGCGACGCATAGGACGATGCAGGGCTCTGTTACATCTTTGCGACCACCTGAAGGGGCCAAAACTCCCCAGTGAAAAACACATACCGGCTGTTGGGAACGCCCACCTCGCTGCGCCCACGTATACCTCAACTGTTGTGCTGAAAGCGTGAAGTTCGACGCAAATTTAGCTAAATTTAGCTTGGGGTAAGGCCGTCACATGTTCCACCGTCTCAGCTTCGCTTGGACATGCACAGTTTGAGGGTCCTATACTACATACATGGAAAGCAATATCTAGTAGACATTTGGTCAACAAGCTCTGTTTTGAAACCTTCTGGGCCTTCGAAATCCTGGAAACGAATCCTGCTGTGCCTAACGTATACAGTGTGTAGAATGTATAAATATGTATGAGAATGAGAGTGAGGGAGAGAGAGAGCGAGGCTGTGCAACTCACTTGCGTGACTTGAGGTGGCGAAACATGGACGACGCTCGCTAGCTCTGCTGACAGGTTGTTCTATGTTGTTCTGATTCGCGATGCATCCAAGATTCGGACTGAACACCCGAGACTTGTCCGGGCTCTCGACGATGGGGCACAGCACGCAGAAAAAGCTGCACTTAGCCACGTAGGCCGGGATACTGTCGATAGCTTTGCCGAGATCTCCGCGGCCTCCGCCCTTTGGGGTCATCTCTGCAGCTGTGGAAGTCTGCAACTGTGGGCAGCTGAAGTAATCGTACCAGATGGACAGTCTCTGGCCTCGAGCTTCTGCACCCAAAGCCAGAAACTTAGAGCGACCAAAGGTGAGTTCGGTGATTATGTCCAGATCCACCTCCACCAAGCCTGAGACTACCTTACTGGTTTAGGGTTTAAGGTATAAGACTTGGGGTTGGATTGGGTTGCAAAGGGTGGATGCTGTGGGATTAAACAGGAGCTACTAAGATGCTTAGATGGACTGGGAATTGGCTAGTTAAGCTGGTAGTGTCTGTAGTTATATCCAGGTTACACTAAGCCTAGGGCCTAGGGTTCTCGAGGTATTCCCAACTGATTGCCATCAACCGCTGGCTAATTTCCCGTCTAAGTAGACCTATTCCTCCAGTCCCTTCTCGTGACCAGCAAGCCACATTCCTCAGAGCATCCTGCAGTACCCGGAACTGTTTGAACTCAGGATCTGGATGCATGCTGCCCACCCATTGGTGGGAGACAAATAAAGCTTTCCCCATGTCTTCCCGAAAAAGGGTCAGAAGCCCATCCGCCTTCAACTCCTCATGCGGCCGTATCTCTGCCATGTCCAGCACAGTTGGCAAGAGCACCGTGTACATGGGGAAGAGCATGATGGGGTCCTCAAGGTGACTGCACCTACTTTGCTGGATCACGACCTTTTCTTGCCTGCTAACAAGTTTGTGACCTGAGGGGAACATGAAGATTTCAAACCACTATCCCACCTCGAATGATTGTGCACCCTGTTGACATACAGTCGCAGCATATCGCTCCAAGGGTGTTTCTGAAAGATGCGGCTTCGATCTTGCTAGGCAACGCATGTCGACGACGGCCCAGCGCAGAGACGAATTGCTTGCATATACACTCTCAACTTGCTCCAAGGTGGAGCTCTGCTTTGGCAACTATTGCTCTTCTCAACTCTGCCTGCTGTTTCTTATGACACTGCGAATCTAACATGCAAAATGCCCTGCGCTGTCCCGGAATTTAGCATGGCGCCGTCCAAAAGTCACATGTTGTATATAGGGGCTATATGGGGGCTCTATAGGGATGATGAAAAAGAAAATGGAAACTACTTTGGCATATACAGTAGGGACATATAGGGGCCCTCTTTCTGCCAATGACAAACGGAGCAACCTCGGACCGAAAGAATCGCTGGACTGGCAACCACTGTAGTATATTGGGGGCAATATAGGGGTAATATAGGGGTAACATAGGGGTAATCTAGAGTAATATGGGAGCTATGTAGGGTGTGGAGCACAAATGAACGAAAAGAGGCTGGCCTGGAGCACAAATTAATATGATAGGGTTCATATTAGGATGTTATAGGGTTAATGGAAGAGAAAATGGAAGCCACTATAGTATAATAGGATTTATATTGGGGCTATATAGGGAGAATGGAAAAGAAAAAGGAAACCACTATAGTATAATAGCCTTAGGGTACTCAACAATCCTTTCTGGTCTGAAGAAAACCTCTGACAAAGCTCATACTGCTGCTTTTGGGCTTGGATCCATAATACGAGGGCCCGTGACCAAATGCTATGGCATTCTTCCCACATGCATACGCGGTTCTTTACGAAACGGTTCTTTAGAAGATTCTGCTTGCCCTAGGACCACCCTGTGAAACCATGAGCTCACAGGTACCCGTCCAACCTGCGAAGCCCTTAGAAAAAGCATATCGGTTTGTATGAAAACCCAGCATTGAATCCCCCTCGACCAATCGTTGTTTTCTACTCCTTATCGTTCCCAATGTTTGGGGGCTCCTTCAACCTTATCGCTTGTTTTACTCCTTCTCGCTTTACAAGTCAAACGCTAGCTATCTCGGGCCACATATGGCTTGCTCTTTGATTTGGCCAAGTAAAGTGGGACGTCCCCTCTGATCTATCACACACGAGAACCAGCCAACGATGTGGCAGCTGAGCCAGTCACTGTACAGGAAGTCGGCGGAACTCTCCCAACTGGTGAGGCCCAGTGATGGCAATAGCTATATCGGAAGAAATTGTAAAATTGGTAGTGATAATGGTGGTCAGTAGAAGCAGCAGCAGCAGCAACAACAGAAGTTAATCCTGAAAGCTTATAGAGCATGATGTGCTTATGCTCTTCTGCTAGGATCTGGGGGCTGGCCTTGCTTGTTTATAACCCTCTGGGAAGATCTGGCAGGGAATCCAGAACGGGTAGATCAGGACCAGAAAGCAGTTTCGAAAGCTGAGCAATAGAATCTACGAAGTTCCTTGGCTTCCGAACAACTCAGAAAACTCGAGGTCCGTATGCTTATGGTCCTCCATAAGTAGATAGAATATGGCTTTGGGTATATTATGATAAGATCCCCATATACCCCATATTCTATCTACTTAAGCAGAATCTAGTGGCTCCTGCCCCTTATCAAGAATAGATTGCTTAGGACTTAATCTCCAATGAGCCAGTGGCCCTGTCAACATCTTGTTCAGTTTGGGGGGGTCCAAACTTCTTGGCATGTGCACTTACTGCTGCTGCTATTGCTAGTGCTATTGCTTCTGCTCTTGCTACTGTTGCTTCTGCTTCCCGTGTTCTTGCTGATGCTGATCACCTCCTCCTGATGCTGCCGACGGTGCTACTTCGACCGGGCATACTGCTGATACAGCTTCCGGATTGATACTGGCGATATATAGGGATAGTGGAAAAGAGCATGGAAAATGCTACGTTAGGGTAGGGCATATATTGGGGGATGCTTGATACTGCCACTAACTGATACGAATTCGTATCATACGTTTCGTTGCTGAGGGATCCTAGCCTTTGGATGTTTTCATCCATGCTGGCATGAACCTCGGTGGAGTTGCTGCACACCTACGCAAAAACAGCAGGAACCTGGCTGAAAAAGCCCACCCTCCGGCACCATGCAGACTGTTGGTTGAAAACAAAATGCTGCTCAGTCCAACTCCTGTACACAAAGCCCTACACATCATGCATCCTAGAACTCCCACAGTATGATGAAAGTCATACGGATGCGACGAAGCGTAGAAAGAGTTGCTGTAGCTTTCAACCCTTGCCCGGCTCTACACACCCCAGCCAAGCCTCAAGCTCAACTCTACCACGAAATTCCCTACATATAAGGAACAAACGAAAATGGAAACCACTATTTATAATAGGGTATATTATATTGAAGTGATATCTATATGTATATATTCAGGAGGGCTATATGGGCATACTAGGACCACTTCCTGCTTGCTACCCTAGTTGTTCATTGTGAAATCAAGGAATTGAAAAGAATGGAAACGATTGCATCATTGGGGATTATACAGGGATCCTGTACTCCATTCCCTACCAGCAACCAGTAAGTTAAACGTGAACCCGATATATCCCTATAAGCCCCACTTTCCATCTCATGTTCCATTTGCTTTGCCACCTTGGTTCTCCTTCTCCCGCTAACGACCAATGATATCAAGAGGGGAACGTGCCTGCTGTGGTGCGGCACATGGTCGCCGGAACACTTTTGTGGGTTCCTTCCGGCCTGCGGAGAGCCCAGAGCATGAGGCCTTGTGGAGTCTGGGAGAGTCTTACATGTGTACATGTGATACTTTCAAAGGTTGAGGGATGGATTAAAAGCATAGACGTTTTTTTCTGTGCCATAGCCTCGCGCATTTGGGCGACGGATGAGGCCGTGGGCGCGTGGAAAAGCGGCTTCAAAATTGCCGCCTGATTGCTTCTGTGTAAATTTCATTGTTTTGCTCGTTGCTGCTAGTGTACGGGTTGAGGGGGTTGCGCAAAATTTGTTCCCGGCATAGACCTTTCAAGGTAATGATTAGGATGCCTCATCACTGATTAATTGCTTGTTGCGAAATTTCCCATATTCCTCCCGTGAATTTGGCAGCCGGAGCCTCAATGACAAGCACTGCTATTGCGATCGCGACAGAATTAGGAGGTGGCAAGACTCTGAGTAGCACCCCATGGCGGTCATCACCGCTGGAGCAGGAATTTGTTTTAGTGAAGCTCGACACCCCCTCATATTCCCCCATATGTACAATGCTACGATAAGGGGGGGATGTTGTAAGCTTCACTGACATCTGCATTCAAACACGAACACCCGGACCCCTGAACAATAGGTATTCCAAATATAATGACGCTACATAGTGGGGAGAATAACTATCACTAAGGGGCGGGGGGGGGGTATTCCTGTTATTACGAATACCATAATAGCATTTTTACCATTTATCGTGGGATTTCAAATTTACTACTCATAGCTTCATGATTGTTATTCCAGTCCCCTACCGTAAACCCTAGACCCAAAACGGCAAACCCTAAACCCTAACCCCACAACCCTAAGCCCCAAACCCTACACCTTAAACTCAAAACCCTGAACCCTCAACCCTAAGCCCCAAACCCTACACCTTAAACTCAAAACCCTGAACCCTCAACTACACTTTGAGGTTAGGAAGGGGTAAGGCCGGGCCTTGAATCTGGCTAGCTGCCAGCTTCTTCTTGGCCAGCAATAGCTTAGCCGCATCCTCCTGTGAAGCTTGGTTCAGGGATTTAGGGGTTTAGGGCCTTCTAGGGTAGCTGAACGATAGGTTCTGTTCGTGTACATAGGGATATGTCAAGATATGTGGAGTGGCATTAGGATGCAAAAGAGATATAAGGATAATCATGTAGGGATATGTACGAGTACATAAGGAAATTTTCGGACACATGGGTAGATTGCTTACAAGGTTATTGTGCACTTACTAAGAAATCAGATGAGCTGCTCCGTTCGAGCTGAGCATTTCACGCTACGTGCGTCCTACTTACTAAGAATTTCTAGGTCCCGCCGACACTCCAGTCAGGGCTCCTAGGGAAACTTGGGAAACCCACAGGGGAAGTATGAGGGTCCCTGCTAAGGATCATATGAGTAGCGGGTTTTTTGGTGGTTGAATCTAGTAAGACAATATTCCTTATATAGAATACTATACCCCAAGAAGAGGATAGGATTTTACTCTATATTGGGTACCAAAGTATCCCATATAAGGATAAATAAGAAAGGTTTGAGAGCTCCAAGGAAATCAAGCCTTTGAAGGGCTTCAAATTGCAACCACGGTTCGTCATTAACAGCTTCAATGAGTGATGAAGGGCTCTAGGGAGTTTGTATACTTTAGAGCTTTAGGCCTGTAAGGTTTGAATGGTTCAACCTTGGGACTTTAAGGTATTTAGGTTTGGGGATTTTAGGGGTTTAGGGATGCCACATGATTTCAGTCCCCGTGTGGTTTTGGGTCTCTGGAGTGACAGTTTGCGGTATACGTAGCGGAAAGGTAGAAGGGCGAGGAATTTGCGCCCGAACCTCGACACTCGGAGATAATGATAGCAGTAATAACTAATAATAACTGCAGTAAGACTAATAGTAGTAGTAATGACAATATAGTAATAGTGATAATCATAACAACAATTTCATAATGAAAGCGCTGCATCTGTCCCAGTCTTTCCTTGTCCACTGCCTCCTCTAGAAAACAAGATTCTTTGTGCAATTAGTTGAAGTTAACTGCATGAGGAAATCCATGTCCCACAGGTATGAATGATCTGAGGCTCCCTGGCGTTTATCCAGCTTCAATCTATTGACAGGAGCCTTGCGAGTCAATGCATTGTGAGATGCCGAGGTTCTGGCCAAAGTCGA